CTTCTGGCTGCCCCCCCCCTCTCACCACAAAAACTCCTATATTTGGAGTGTGGACATATCCCGTGAAATGGCTTCAGAAAACATATGAAAATAACCGCAAAACATGTCAGAATTACAACACTTTTGTAAATAGTCACAATTTAAGGTAGATTTTGCTTTGATTGTTCTTATTTTTAAATGTTTTATAATTCTAACATGTGTTGCCGCATTTTCATATAATTTAAGGTTTAAATAAATTAATTTGTTTAATGTTTCGAAGCCTTACTTACAGTAGCTTAATTACATAAATTAACTTAAATGATAAAAAAGAGCTATTTAAAGAGAAAATTAAAGAGATTATGAGTATTGAACGAAAATAAATGATTTCAAATAAATAAATGTCTATGTGGTACTGTTTATATTGTGTGCATAGATCACATAGTTACTATATGTGGTAAAAGTAAATGTTTAGATAGTGTGGTAAGATCACATAGTGAAATGTGTGGTTAAATCAAATTTATATGATGTGGTAAGATCCCATGGTGTTATATATATGTGGTTAAATTAAATGTATAAGGTGTGGTACCGTAAGATCAATTGGTGCAGTATATGTGGCAAAAGTAAATGTGTATATGATGTGTTAAGATCACATGGTGCTAAATCTGTGGTAAAAGTAAATGTGTATATGATGTGGTAGATCACATGGTGCAATATCAGTGGTAAAAGTAAATGTGTATATGATGTGTTAAGATCACATGGTGCTAAATCTGTGGTAAAAGTAAATGTGTATATGATGTGGTAGATCACATGGTGCTAAATCTGTGGTAAAAGTAAATGTGAATATGATGTGGTAGATCACATGGCACTAAATCTGTGGTAAAAGTAAATGTGTGTATGATGTGGTAGATCACATGGTGCTAAATCTGTGGTAAAAGTAAATGTGTATATGATGTTGTAGGTCACATGATGCTAAATCTGTGGTAAAAGTAAATATGTACATGATGTGGTAAGAACACATGGTGCTATATAAGACTATATGTGGTAAAAATAAATGTTTATACGTAGTTGTAATATTATATGGTACAATATATGTGGTAAAACGGCTAATTGTGGTAAAAATAAATGTTTATACGTTGTGGTAATATTATATGGTACAAGATATGTGGTAAAACGGCTAAATGTGGTAAAAATAAATGTTTTAAAAGGACAAGGTTTAAGGGAAAATAAAATTGTATTTAGAGAA